GCAGGTGAGGTTCAGTGGTTGAACGTCGACCTATGAACTAGGAGGTCACAGTTCGATTCCCTGTCAGGGCACATGCCCAGGTTGCAGGCTCGATCTCTAGTGTGGGGCATGCAGGAGGTAGCCAATCAATGATCCTCTCTCATCATCGATGTTTCTATTTCTCTCTCTCTCTCTCTCTCTCTCTCTCTCCCCCTTCCTCTCTGAAATCAATAAAAATATATTTAAAGAAAATGTGGTCCTTTTCCCTCATCTAAAATGTGTTTATATGTCTGTACTAGTATATATTTGAGTGTGTGTGTGTGTGTGTGTGTGTGTGTGTGTGTGTGTGTGTGTTGTGTGTATACGCACAAATACCCCCAGTGGAACACTGTGCTTTTGATGCTAGGAAAGAATCTCTTAAAAGGCAATATAGGAAGCACCTTAATATTTTGTGCTCCAAATTTTAAAGGTATAAATAAATCTTTATAAACTAAGAAAAACCATGGAAGAATAGGCATCAACTACTTAACAGAAAGTATCTGGGCAAACTGGTAAGAGATAAGCACAAGAGGGTTGCCATATATTATTTATTCTCTCTAAGCATTATTTAAGTGTTATGGTTAAGGGTCATTTTTCTTTTTATGTTTTCTGGATTTTCCAAATGACTGAAAGAATAAATGTATACTGGGCAAATTTAGGAAGATATACTAACATATACTATTTATCAATATAAAAATTTGACACTTAGAACCTATGGTCACAGGAAATACAAAACATTTAATGTCATTTATACACACACTCTTGTTGCAAAGAAGAACAATGGTGATCAAAGCTTTTAAGCATGAAACACTGTATATTAGTGTGAAATTCTGTAGAGGAAATAAAATGGGAAAAAGCTGTCAAGGAGGAAAAGGAGTGATATAAAGTATCCAACTGTGAATAATAAGCTCATTTTGGCATTTTAAAAAAATATATGATGGTGGCTATCAAATATCTACAGCACTTTGCATTCAATTAGATTCATTTAGAAGAATGACATCAACGATTTTATTTTAAAATTCGGTATTTACAGCATGTCAGAAGTTATATCTCTTTTGTTATCTAAACTTTTGCTGAGTAATTTTTACATGAACTTAAAAGTTTGTGGAGGTGCATATGTTTTCAAATTCATTTTAGGGGTATCAGAAGTTATATCTCTTTTGTTATCTAAACTTTTGCTGCGTAATTTTTACATGAACTTAAAAATTCATGTAAATTCATGGAGGTGCATATGTTTTCAAATTCATTTTAGGGGTACATGAGTAAAAGGTTTGATGGCCACTCACATTAGCTATAAACTACAGTTGGCAATCAGTAGGAAAAAAGCAATATTCAATCTAAGCCAAGGAGACTCTGCCACCTGGTGGCTGAGAAATGTCCGTGGTCACCAGGCAGGGATAAAAACCTGTCCTTAACAGGAATGATGATGAACTGGGCCATAAAATGTAGACTCGGGAGATGCATTATTTGATTACAAGACATCTGAATACAGAGAAGGAAATAAAACGATTCATTCTGAATATTATCATTGCAAATCCAGGAAATTACCATTGGTAGCTTTTTACTGGGCAGGAAACTATCTAAAATCCCTCACCTAAGACCAACTAATTTATGAAATTCTTAAAATGATAATGCATACATTTATCTTTTGTAAACTTAAGTAAAACCAATTCTCACCTGCCATTTTATTGTAGAGAAACAGAAAAAATGTTTGACCCATTTATGTGGAAAAGAGAAATCATCAAAGATTCCACTATTTATAGAACTGTATTGTGAAAACACATGTAAATTCTTATCACCGAGTTGTTCAAAGTTCCTGTTGACTACTGATGTTTTAATTTGTCAGTGTTCCTGTCAAAAATAAGCAAAAAGACAAAGAAACGTGGACTTTGTCATAGGGAATCCAGTAACTATATTTCTAACTCCCCGAACATGATTCAACAACTCCTCAAAATTATAAGGTAATGGCACTTTTTAAATGGTCCCATTTCTAGGATCAGAGCGTTGAGCTTCCATGTGCGTTCTTCTACTGTGTCCCTAGGTCAGTGGTCGGCAAACTGCGGCTCGCGAACCACATGCGGCTCTTTGGCCCCTTGAGTGTGGCTCTTCCACAAAATACCATGTGCGGG